TTTTAATGGAGGCATGTTTGCCCTGAAAGGTCATTGTAACAATGTGAATCCTAACAAGAAGCTTAAATCATTAATGTCGTAACCAGAGTGGAGCCTCTTGACAAAGACCTAGGCTATGTGCATGTTTGTATATTTTCTTTTTCCCCCATTTGAATCAGGAATTCTGAGGTGCCTCGTCTATTAGCGATGTTTTTGACTGTTCTGTTCTTCAGTATGAAAGGAGTCTTCTATGTGGTACAGTTGACATATTTCCTGACACAAAGTTGTAGTGTGTCTTCTTACAACAGCATTGGCGCAGCGTTCTACTCTCGTTTCATGTTTTCTTACCTCTAGTACATTCTTTTTTTAAAGTAACCAGGAAACTGGTCCCTGAGCATCATGTACTCAAGTTTGAATACTGCTTGAATACGGCCTTCGGTCCTCACCTATCATCTCCTGTATCTCCCCCTCTCGACACTGTCAATCTCCAAAGGCTAATCTGGCCCAAACATATTTTAGGGTCCAGTCAAAAGTCCAAAAGTATAAAAGACTTGACTACTAAGACTGAGACTCCAACTTCAGACAAAATCGTCTGTTGCAAAGCATAGTTTGTTGTTCTGTATAGTTCTTGAATCTTACCGAAGACTAATTCACAATCAATTCTGGGTACATTTAAACATGGCAATGTGTCCAACTTATCTAACCCGAAAAAATGCCTTCTGAAGGTATTTTACCATTTCCTATAGACACTTTATTGGAGTATGTTCAGCAATACAAAAAGTTAGTTGTTTCTGTTGGTTGAGACAGTGCTAACTTCAGTATTTTGAGGACAAATCCATTTAGCTCAGAGGTCCACCAACCCATCATCATCTTCTTCATCAGCAGACATAGCATGGCCTAGGGGCTAACATACTTATTGTTTTTGGCTTGCTAGTCGGTTGGCTGGCTACCAGGGGCATCAGCCCCTATAGTCCCCACATTTCCTGCTTGTTTCTTCCTTTGTGCCTTCCCCACTTCTTATTGCACCTTGCATTCTTGGGGTCCTGCTGCATTTCCTTATCACCCTGTACTTCCTGTATCTACATTCTCAATCTCTTCAATGTATTATTTCTGCCATATTGCCTGGTGGTCCAGTCTCGTGGCTGCATGGTGAAGGTCACACTGGAACACATAATCACCATTGAAAGACAAAAAGCTCTGAAAGAATTTCGCACCCCCCCCCTCCATCCCTCATTCCTCCCTCTCTCCATCAGCCTCCACGTGTTCTCTCTCACATTCATAGGTTTTATAAATCCAATCTTTGCAAAAATGTGCCCTTGCCTGACACCTTTCCTGACCTCCTTGGATTGTTTTTAAATATGGTCTTTAAATTCTTACAGGTCTTAAGGAATACTTTTCTCTCGCTCCACCAAGATATAGTACTTAGCTCAGTTGAAGGCAAAAACTGGCATGAGCTTATCTCTGTTTCTATTTTAAAGTTGACCCCTTTCATGGAGCTCTCTTCTTATCACATTTGGAAAGGGACTTGATAAGCGTCATTATTTTAAAGCTGATAGCCAGTTCTCTCTCACAATTTCCAATGAGGTATCAAGCTTCAAAAGATATAATACAAAGAAATAGGGCTCAGGTTGAATGCAGTTCACATTTTTTATATTATTAAAATGAATCTCTCCTTCTCAGTTCTAATAAACGTTATTTTGTCGTCAGATTGAGTCAGCCAGTTCAGCGTTAACCAATCACAAAACATTGACGCACTACTTTGTCTGACACTGTGCTAACTCTGCATAGCTGAGTGGGCACAAGCATTGCCAGCTACCGTAGAAAACAAGAGTGCAAATAAGGTCTTTCTCAGACGGGAGTTTTTAAAGCTTAGGGTGCCATGGAGAACCTGTTCGACCCCTTACAAGACAGATCTGTAAAAAAAAAATACACCACCACTGGTATGATAATTAAACAAAACGTTTCTACGGGTAATTACCGTAATGATGACCTTTTTATTATCACTGCAGAAGTGATTAGAGTAGACTCATGGTTATTGTTTAGCTGTGTAGCTTCTTTATAACGGTCATTAACAAGGGTTTCGAAGAATAGGACAAACCTGGAAGACTAATAGATGTTGGGAATAAGAGAAATTGAGCACGATGGTGGGGGAGAGTTAGTCTTTGTGACAGTTTTTCTTTTTGGGGTGGAGGTTGGGAGGTCACCCATCCACCCACCACCACTACCCCCTCCTATCCTCCGTCCTCCCTCCTGCCTTGGCTAGTCTCCATGTGCCGAGCTCAGGGCCTTGGGAATGAATGGCGCCCGGCCTCTGCTCCGTCTTTGAAGCCAGCCAGGAATGCGAGGCCCCCTTTTTTCTTTTTTGCTCCTCATCTCTCTCTCTGTTGTTCAGGCGGCCGGCAGCACTAGCAGCTATCTGCGGCAGTGAAATATTCCCTCCGCTGCGCTCATTGTGCAAACGGAGAGCCAGACGTCATCGGCTGGCCAATCAGAGGCTCCCGCTATGCAGACTCGGGTCTCTGTGGGGGGAGAAGGGACTCGCTAGAAGTCTTCCCTCTAATATCTAGCTCTCCTGGTAACTTGGTCTGGTCCCTATTTTGAAAGGAAGAAAGATTTTTCTGAAAGAGAAGCCAGGACGGAAATCATTTAGGAAATCCTAATTTAAGTGGGAACTTTTTCTTCAACTTAGACTCAAAGTTGTGGTGAGTTTTTCTATTTCTTTCTTGCTAACATCGCTCTCTTAACTTGACAAACTTTCATTCATACCAGCCTGCAAGTAGTTGATCTCTGTGTGGCTCGCTGCCTGCCTTGCTGCTGATCCTGCCTTCCAACTTGATTCAGCTTTCCTGCTGTCATTGTTCACTTCTCTTGTCTCTTGTTGTTGTGGTTTGCGTGTGAGGGTATTTGTCTGGGCCGGTCACCCTCTGCCTCACCCTCCCTCCCTCTCTCTTCTCTGTACATTTTGTCACTGCCTGTCCCCTCCATCACTTCCACTTGAGCGCTCCCCTGGTTGGGAGCCTCTCTCTCTGTGTTCTCAGAAGGAAGAGGAGGGCTGGAAACCACACACACACACACACACACACACACACACACACACACACACACACACACACACACACACACACACACACACACACACACACACAGAAACACACCACAGATCAGAAGGCCCTTCATAAGCACATGGAATCCCCCTTAATACTGTAGTATGAAAGGCTCTGGGGAGGTGGGTTTTGTGAGTATGCAAAACGACCACCTCCTAGGATCATCTTTAATTCTGGGATTTATGCTCAGGCAACAAACATGGCCATACTGATTATAAAAGAGGTTTCAGTTGTCATTCTAAGTTTCCAAGAGATCAGTCTCGACAGGACTTTTTGGTTTGATACGCAACATTTGCTGCACTTCCAACAATGGTGAGGCCAAACTTTTATTCTGCAGTGTCAGAGTTGATTAGCTGGTTGGCTTGTCTTTGTTTTATTGGCAACATCAACCTTTGTGTATGCGTGACAGGTATGCAGCCTCATCTTGAGGACAAAGTCATGGAAAGGCATGCAGGTCATGGAAAAGACGAGCCTTTACTCTGTCATTAGAGTCCTCCGTAAAACCTAAACCTATTATTAACTAGAATGAACTTGAAGGGGCTGTGGTTTGTATTTAAGATGTTTCTTTGGATAGCTGATAATGGCAACCGGTTTCTTTGTTACAGGATGGTAGCCCTATAAGTTATAACATCCTCTGCACTTTTAATGTTTTAGAGTGTTATAAGGAAACTTGGGAAATGTTACTAGAGTTTAAAGTAAAACCCACTATTGTCAAGTTAATTGGTTCATTCAAATAATCTGAATGCTGCAGCAGACTCATTTTGAAAGACCAAAAGATTATTGATCAAGCTTCACTGTGTCTCAGTTGGAAATACATTGTCTACCCTTCAATCTGTAAGACTCTACAGCGTCTAGAACAGAATAACAATAAATGTTTCCTTATCGTCTCAGTCACTGTTCTTGTGTAGTTCATTGAAAGTTGAATCATGCCCAAATCATTACATGTTAGGCTGCTAAATGCTTCTCTCGCTAAAAAAAAGAATGTAGAGAGCCTTTATGGTTTGCAGCGCTGTATAACAAGGCATCATACATCCATCACATGACTAATCCTCCCGGATTTCTGTAGCTCCATATGGAATTCCTGACATTTTTGTCATGTGTGTGCTGTAACGTGCACTGCCAACCTCAAGGATCCCTAATTAGAGGCCGTGTGCATGCAACATGAAGACAGGCTCCTTCAACAGGTGGTTAACTGTACTGACCTACCAATCAACCTGCTGTGAAACATACAAAATACCTTTTACTGTAGGCTACGTCTTGTACACAAAATGTCATCATGGAAAATGTGATTGTTCACTCTATAGCCCTAACTTTCTTCCTTTGAATTAAAAAAGAACAAGAAAATTTGGGTGGAAAATAAAAGTACCAGTAAATTGACTGGTATCCAACAATTGATGGACAAAAATATTATAATAAAAATGTTCCTCATTTAAAAGCTTAAGCAATTACGTGACATATATTAATAATTATTAAGCGATAAGTTTCTTCTTTGATGCTGCCAGGTTTTGTTTTCTGGCATCTTAATATGTTTTAGGCACCATGCAACATTTTGCAATTGTTGCGGGTTAGTTGATTTCATTTCAGTTATCTATCTAAGATAAGGTCTTTCTTGTTGGGGTGTGGTTGGGTGTGCCATTTACCTAGTGGACATGCCAAGTTGACAATCTCACACAAACATTCATGTTTGCAGTCGTAACAGCTACGCATTGGGATCTTTGTGATGACCACACAGAGCCATGTGATATACTGAGTGTTGGTCAATCTATTGTTTTTCAAATGCTGTTTGAACAAGAATTTTGTCTTTTTAATTTTCATCTTAAGCAGTCATTTTCCTCAGATGTAAGACTGTAGTGTGTGTCCTGAGTCAAGATTCATGGTGATAACTAGTGTGTGCTGTTTTTGTGTTTTTCCCCCCAGGAGCTACTGAGCAGACCGTTTCAAGAGGCCAAGAATAAACAAAAAGAAGGCAGGAAAATGACCTAATTAGCGACAAGCGTGACGGACAACCTGGTGCAAATGTGTTGGCGGTATATTCCCAAGTTTCACCCACAAGGAAGACACATGCATCAGTGCACAAACTTGTATACCACAAACCCCGCCCTTCCCTTCCTGTCATCCGCCCCAGTCCTCCATGGATTCCTACAACTTCCACTTTGAGAGAATGAGCAACGTGGACCTCCATCCTCTGAGCCTGCCCGTCAGCCGGCTCTCCCCCGCCAAGTCCAACAGCAGCATCGCCGACCATCTAGTCCACCATCAGCACGGCAAAGGAGACTCTGCCTACAGCTCCTTCTCTGGGGGGTCCACTGCCCCAGACTACCCCTCCCCCTTTCTCCCAGACGACATACAGTCCAGCTCCTTCAGCCACTATGCTGATCTTAAGTACGTGAAGTCCATATACCATCCCACCCAGGTTCTTCAGTCCGACTCAAAGACCATGGACCAACTCTATCGCTCTGTGGAAGCTATCTCTCAGCAATATCGTAACAATACCAACACCAATGTAAACCACCAGAATGGCAACAACAGTTTGCACATCAACAACAAAGCGCTCTCTAAAAAAGAGGTGCCTATGGGGGCTCATTCCCACCCTACTGTCCGTCCTCCTCCTGTTCCAGCACGAATGGATAGTTTTATAGCCACAAAAAACTTGGAAAACAGCCGAGTCCACAATCAAGGTACTGAATTTAAACCCCAGCCGCCTCAACAACAGCCCAGACCCTTCAGTCGACTCCATCCACAGCCCCATGGTCAAAATGCTCCAAAACCTGAGACGGCTAACCAAGATACAGGCAAAGCAAGCTTCAGTTCGGACCCAGTTTTCTCAGTGTGGAGGGGCTCTCAACAGGAACTGCCACAGGCCCAGCAGCCGCCAACATACCGCCCCCATCCCCAGCCTCACGATCAAACGAGGGCGCCGTTGAACCCAGAATACCTTTCCATCACTGATAACAAAGCAGCGGAGCAGGACAAGTCAATAAACTCCATAAGCCAGCCTGAGCACCTGAAACCCAGACTGCCTTCAAGCAGTGGTGTGTTTAATGAAGACCATAACAACAAGCCCAGTGGAAACAGTGGCCATTTGGAGAGTAAGCGCAAAAGGGCGCACTCGGCGCATGATTGGCTTGGTTCAGAGCCAGCTCGAGCTGCCAGCCCCTGGAATGCTGGTCAGGGTTTCATCAACAGCAGCATCCAGCATAAGGGTCAATTCTATTTTGTCACAGGACTGTGTAAGCTGTCTGAATCTGGAATGAGGACACACTCTGCATCTGTGTGTGGGTCTGAGACTGGAAGTGAGAGCTCCACTGTGGTGCTAAGAGAAAAAGGAAGATGCCACAGCACAATGGATAATTTGTTTAGATCTCTCCAAGATGAGACCTCTTTCAGTGATGCGAGAGAGGCTTTAACTTCTCAGAGCCAGGACCTTTCCTCCAGAAGCCAGGATCAGGAGAATCACAGACTATCCCTCATTTCAATGCGGTCCTCGAGAAGCTTCGACACCTTAGAAGAAATCGACATGATCCAGAGTCGGGATATTAGCCGCCACACTGCCAACAACCCTATATTCTACTGTGGACCTGAAAGAAACTGCCCACCACATTCAACCAAACCAACAAAGGAGGTGACCCCACTCATAAGCAATGAACAGCCTAACCCCCACAAGAGAGAGGAGCAAGCAAAAAGAGGGAAACGGCAGCCCTTGGGAGATGTAGCCAGCGAGAGGATAAACAAAGAAACAACCCCGCTACTGTACCACCTCACCGGAGCCAGCAGGGCGGCGTCACAGCCTAAAAAGGATGCTGATTTCAGTACAAAAGGCAACGAAGCAATTCTAAACAAAACAGGTCATGGAGACGTGGTTGGTAGCGAGAAGGAGAGACTACTAAAAAGTGACACGAGCAAGAACGATAGAGAGGAAGTTGCCTGTAACACGCTGGACGACTCCTTTAAAAAGTACTACAAAGAGAAGCTGAAGGATGCCCAGTCGAAAGTCCTGAGGGAGACGTCATTTAAAAGGAGGGACCTGCAGCTGTCATGGCCGCACCGTACCAGGCCAAAACCTGAGCTGAGGCCTACAGTTATCCACGCTTTCTCCTCATCACAGGACTCTGAGACCTCCACAGATACACTCACTCCCTCTGTGGCCTCTGAGGAGACCGAGAGGGAGAGCATCAAAGACGAAGTCAGGGAGAGTCAGGAGGAGAGGGACAAAGAGGCTGAAGAGGTAAACGGGAGGCCAGCGAATGTGGCCCAGCCCCAGGTAGCACGCATCAGAGGCAGGAAGCGATTGACTCAAGAGCAGAAAAAGATGTGCTACTCTGAACCAGAGAAACTCAACCAGCTCGGTGGAGCCCCCGTCCACTCTGCATGCCGCTCCTTTGGCAACGACACTGAAAGCCTGTTTGCAGTCGAATGCGAGGAAGAGGAACCTGCGCAGCAAGGGGAACAGGGACTGGTTGCAGCACGGAGGAAGATGTTTGAGACGAGAGGTAGAGCCCTCTCAGCTTCTAGCGCTACAAAATCCAACTTGAAACACATGCAACACAAGGCGCTGGTGGAGTACATGGTGCGTAAAACGGGCCAGAAAGTGCCCGAGCCACAGCAGCCGGCTCCTCAGTTACCATCTCCACCCAGACAGAGGCACTCTCTGGGGGAGAAACCCTTCGACTGGGGTCCCAGGCCTCTATCAGGAAATAATGAAGGCAAAAACACCAAGAATAAACCCAACAGACCCCACTCTGCAGGCCGCATCCTGGACTCCTCTGCCAGCTCTATCAGGTATGAAAAAGCAGGTCTTGTGTGATGCTTTTTGTTGTCATAAAGATTAAATCATTTAATACAAATTATCCCAATTCAGGTACGCCCAGTTCTTCTCGGCACAGTCTTGTTCAGGCCAATATGTGGGTCAGTCCAATCAACCCAGATGGAGGGAGAGCCAAGGCCCATCTCAGGGGAAGTCCGCCTCAGTGGAGAGTCTCTTGGACCAACCAGAACCACCATGTTTTTTAAGGAACAGATCCACATCCACACCACAGGTATGTCTGTACAGATTGAGACACTTAAAATGCATATTTTTTTAATAAAGTTAGTGTTTGACAAGCTTTCATGTTAACTTACCCCTGTGTGGCCTTTGCTGTACTATTTCACACTCATTTTGTATACTTTACAATTGCCTTTAGAAGGATTTAACTGGACAGATTAAAGTGTAATTCACGTGTTTTGACTTTTTTTCTGGGTTTGCAGGCACTCGATCATGAAGAGGATCCATTACCAGTTAATGCTATGGAAACCCCCAGGTATGCACCAGCAACGCAGACAAATTGGTACATTTGTATAGGTTTAGGTCACGAGAGTAATAGGTCAGTGAGTGTGCACAGACAATAAATCTTCTCTTAAGTCCCTGGGACACTGGAAAGTCAACACCCACCTGGTCCAGCTAGACAGCATTCCTCTCCAGAGGTTATGCATGGGTTGTAAAAGAAGAATCATTGACTCAAGCTTTTCCAATGAGTTGACATATTTCAAAATATGAAATTGTTAGTTGCCAGTCTTTAAAATGTAAAAATACAGAGCCTTTTTATGATGTATTTTTATTTGTCCTTAAATGATCATACCTTACCTTACTTAAAAAGAAATGTCTGCATACCTCCATGATGAATAAAGAGTCCAAAAACTTGAGACATTTCTACATTAGGGTTACAGCAAAGTGATATCTTTTACATCTTTCACATAAACATTTTGTACAATTAGCCCGTCTGCAAACACGTAAAACTCAAAGTTTGTTGCAGGATGAGTATTAGATAAATAGATAAAGAATTATTCCGTGAGAGATATAAAAAAAGAAAAACACGATACGAAGATGTGATGGCTACAGGTTGTGGTTTAGTAGTTTTTGTTTTAATTGAAAACTCTAAGTTATCAAACTTTGTTTAAATTGATGGCTTGTGTTAAACATTTTAACATTGATTGTCTCTGTCAGTCCTCAGATGCATGCCAGTGAGGACTCCTCATTGAAGCCGGCCCCTGAGGGCCAGCAGCGCGTCCGTGTGGTCGCACAGAGGGGGAAGTCCATGGAAGAGCTCGGGGCATCAAAGTTACCAAGACCATCGGCCATGAGTAAAAGTTCTGAGCAGTTAGATCAACTTTGGAGGGATCCGACTGAACCTGGAGGACCCGTCAAAGACAAGAGGAGCGTTTCATTCTTTGCTGAAGTCAGAGAAACCCAGGGGCTGGTCCGAGGGGGAATGAAACACAATGTAACAGGGCAAAAGGAAACGGCGATCGTTGGTCAGGGACAGACACAAAACCAAGCCCACATAAAGTCTGTGTCAAGGCAGAGCTCTGAAACAGAGGAGAGCGCCTCAGCTAGTAGATCCTCCTCCCCGGCCTCCTGCAGGACTCCCTCTGGATCTCCTGGTTCTCACGGCCCGGTTACAGATGAGGTCAGGTCCAGCAGACCGCCCAGTGAGACTCCACCTGACCCACCTTCCCCCAGATGTCCAGAGACCAGTGAGAGAGAAATCAAATCCACCTCGTCCACTCCCACCCAGACAAAGCTTCCCTGTGAAAACAGGCCCAGCTCCAGGTAAGATTACACTCTTTGTCAATGCAACATCTTTTTTCGTCTGTCAAATTGTTTGACAAGGGCCCGCTTTCTTCCACAACTTCCAAAACATTCCTTGCATAGTGCTCATTGGAATATATATCCCTTCAGCTTTGTAGACAAACACATTTTTTCTTCAGAAAACGGATAACCTTGCCCACTACACAACAGTTTATTATTGACTACTTTTTCTACTTGGGTCTTTGTTGGATTCAAGTATAATTTGAAATGTAGTCAATAATAAACTTGTGAAGCCGTTCCCCTTTACATATCAACACTGTTTTTCTGCACCTACATTTCTTTTTCAACAGGTGTGATTGTTAACCATGATGTGTTTATGTTTCATTAGAGTCAAGACTTCTCCTTCTGCATCTGGATCAGAGAGAGAGCAGTCGGTGGATGAAGAAAGCAACATTTCCCTCCAACTCGAGTCAAACCAGGAAGTGTCTCTGAGCTGCGGTGTCACCACCGATCCATCGCTGTGGATTCTCCCCGCAGAAGAGGAGATCAAAGAGGAAGTTCAGTCTTCGGCGCTGACAGACAACGTTTTTGACGACGAGTCCACCAGCCCCGCCCCTCCGACACAGACAAGCGAAACCTCTGTGTCTGCCTGCACCTCCATCTCTGACACAGACATCAGTCAGCAGGTGGAGGAGGAGGAACATCCAGAACCGGAAGATGAGAAGTCTGGAGAAAACCAAGCGACGGAGGAGAGGGGGACTCAAGAGGGAGAGACAGAGAGCCTGGAGAGGCCTGCTGAAAGACCAAAGTGGGAGGGGCTAGTAGAAGCGGCAGTCAAGGTTGACCAATCGCTGGCCAGAGTTTTCTACCCACTGACCAATCGTAAGACGGCACTGATGCTGATGGAGCAGCTGCTGTCAGAGGACACGCTGCTGATGGAGGAACACTACAAGAAGAAGCAGGAGCAGAAAGGAGTTGCAGAAAGGTAAACGTTAATGTCCTAGACCTAGAGCACAGCACTTAAAGTTTAAACCCACCTCTGGAACAGATCAATAATATAAACTTGTTTACACTTTTGGGAGGCTTTTCTTGCCTTAGTGGAGACGGAACACTCCTGAGATGTGCTCTGAAATAATGAAAATGAGGGAAATAAGTTCACCCGACTTAACCTTGTGACAAGCTGTGTACATGGAAACAAATAGTAATAATATAAAACAAGTTTAGTGTTGATGTGGTGTTTAGAGTGCAGAGTTAATTAGAATTCCTAGTTTAATGTTTCTCCGTGTAACTTGATACTGGTTCCCGTGTTATCTATTGCTGCCACACACGCACAGACACACCTGGCCATCTGCTTTCCGCGGTACATGACCTCACTGTGTAAGCACTCTCTTCAGATACATGGGGAATGTGCGGCTGCATTTCAGATTTCTCTCATATATAAATTAAAGTATTTGAAGATGTTGTATGTGGCACATTGATATGGTGCAGGAAAACTAGCTTGACCTAAAAACATTTGTCTTTTTCCAGTCCTGACACAGTGGAACAGGCTGAACCATCTCCTGCTCCGTCTGCTCCTGACAGCCCTAAACCTCCGAGTACAGACCTGCAGAGCAAAGCTGACATCACTGAGAGAAAGGTGATTATTCAGTCATGTGTATGGTTATTGTCAAAAGTACTTCACAACAGAAGTTAAGTGTACATTTCAATACTTTTAAACTATTACATATTTTACCATAAACCATATGTCTCTAAGAATGTCACAGCTTTGTACATTTAAATGACAAGAAAGCCGATAGGACCGCAGAGTAAAATTGAAGTTTAACCACAAACTTTGAGGTCTTCTTCTGATTTTCTTTTTAAAAAACGAGCTCTGGATTTCATAATGATACCATCTGGATGATATTTGGCCTTAAGTGGATTCATTTCAGACTGAGATAGTTGTGTGTCTCTTATCACATGATATACTGTCTGCCTCTTATCAGTATCTCCTACTTGCATAATGTTTGGCTTTGCAAATAGCCTTCCCCCTCTTCCTGAATGCCTCCCACATTCACTCTTGATACATTTCCCCTTTATTTATTTTTCACTGCAAATATGAAATACATTTTCTTTTCAAGTTTCAAAGTATTATTTATACACATATTGTATTTACCCTGTAGCACCATTGCCTACAATTTCTCACACATCTCCTCTTGTCTGCTTGAATTATCAGCGTCTCTTAGCGTCCATTATCGATGAGCGCCTTCACTCACTGGAGGAGACTCGCGGGGTCTTGCAGGCAGAGATCCAGGAGAACGTGGCCCACGGGGGGGTCCTGGAGGTGCTGGTCCGCGAGCGCTGTGTGCCCGTGGAGCTGGAGAGGTACAACCTGTTCATAGGAGACCTGGAGAGGGTGGTGAGCCTGCTGTTGTGCCTCTCCGCCCGGCTGGCCAGGGTGCAGAACGCCCTCAGCACCGTGGACCAACACACAGACGCTGAAGAGATGGTGAGGAACCAGAACTTCATATGGAGGCCTTGGGGTTGATAAATGAGGGTTTTCAGGGTCTGTCTCAAGAGGATTTTCCTTCCAAGAGTCCTCTTATCTTCTATAATTTATTGCTTAATGTAATTTGTAGTTGCATAATTGTCTGATGGTAATACTCCTGCCAGCAGGGAATGTTTTTGAAAACTCCTTGGTGGGGCCTTCAATTACCCTCCCAACTCCAAGCTTTCTGAAGCTACAGAGAAAAATACAGCACTCACATAGACATAATCCTAAAATAAAAAGTGTTTTGAGTGGATTCTGTAGCATCCAATTCTCAAATGCATATACCACTGTAATTATTCACATCACACATGTAAAAAAAAAGCATGAAGCTGAATAATCAGTGTTTAAATCTCCCTTCAAAATTGTATAAATCTAATCAAAAGTTTAGTTTATTTGTGTCTTTATATAGTTCCCATATTGGGAATTAATCTAAATTCAATCCGTTAAACCAGATGTGATAAATCAATCTACTGATAAACAGATACACACTAATACAGTTAAGTAAAAGCATACATTCAGGTAGTGTTTATGTAATGCAACCTCACCGTTTTTGTGATTTACTGCAGCTCATTTAGAGCCTCTGCCGGAAAGAAAAGACGACTGCGAGTGTTGGAAGTGCGCGGCTGCTCCCATGCCCTCGGCTTTCCTCTCGTGCTGTTTACTTTAGAACAGCAAACACATGCCACTTGGGAAGTTAAGGGCGACTTTAATGGAGTCAAGGTTTCTCACCGTGTGGAATTCAAAAAATGTTATCTATGACTAATTGCCTTTTTAGCTTATCTTGATTTGACCCCAACGTTTAAATAGACATTTGAAGAATTAATTTCATCTAGTGCACTTTTTGATTTGATATATTGAGAAACAATTACTTAAATTCCGTCATGTCATGCTGCATCTGAGGTAGCTACAATTAATAGTTTTTACTAGAACATTTAAATTCAAATAACTTGTTGTTTCACACGATCAGACTTAAGCTCTGTACCATGCTCTGTTTTCCTGTTTCATTATGCTGGTATTTACAGCATCAATTTATGTTAGCATGGATGCATTCGATTTCTAGATGTATCCGTGAAAGGGCTCTTTGTCGGTTTGTCCATCTGTATACAGCCCAGCTGAATGTGCTGCAAACAGGGAGCTTGTTAGAGGGTCATTGGTTTTCTTGCTGTTATCAGCAACACTGGTATTTACACTGACTCACCGAAACTGCAGTCCGGTTTCGATGACATTTGTACCTACCCTGCCCTCTGTTGACATAAGGAAACACTGCACCTCCTGCCCTGTGGTGGAACCATAACGCTTTCACAGCTCTCTATTACATCAAACACCATTATTACCTTTCAAATAAAACAAGAAAATCCCAAATATAATACTTGGACATGTTCAAATGCCTTATCAGCATTGCTCTCCAATTCTGAGTTCTCAGCAGAATATTTACTTACCCATTTAATACTAGGAGCATGAGCAAGGCACAATTTCAACACCATAATAACATTTCAATAACAGACCTAACACATTCCTTTGTCCCCAGCAATATCATGTGAGATGGAGAGGGAACATTAGCAGGTATATTTCATGTTCTTTATCCTCTGTGTCTGCACTCAGCAATCTCTGGACAGCCGCCACCGTCTGCTGTGCAAACAGAGGGAGGACGCCAAAGATCTGAAGGATAACCTGGACCGCAGGGAGAACCTGGTCTCCACCTTCCTGGGGCGTCAGCTGTCCGCCGAGCAGCTGCAGGACTATCGGCGCTTCGTGCAGACCAAGGCCTCGCTGCTCATCCGGCAGAAGGACCTGGAGGAGAAGCAGAGGCTGGGAGAGGAGCAGCTGGAGGCGCTCTCCAACAGCCTGTGAAGAGAGGAGCAACACAAGCACAGATTCCTCCTTCACTTGCCTTAAAGTAGTAGCTTGTTTAAGAAGACATGTAGAGAGGTGGCTGTCTTTTTCCCAACCCTGTCATGACTTCCTAATGTATCATTGAAAACGTTGACAAACGCATCATGCCTCCCGCTGCTCTCCTCTCATGCTACTCCCGAGGCTGCACATCAGATGCAAAAATCTGTGCACCTGAAGACTTTTCTCAATGTGTCGCACATCTTTCCATTAACTTAAAACACTGAGCTGGTTTTTTTTCTGTGTGCCTTGATGTTGCTGTGGATCGTTTTCCATTAGAGCTGCTGTGTGGTGGAAACTTTGCGTCCCCTGTTAGCGACTGTCCTCCACTTTTTCAATGAGATGGTAGTGCTACAGCCCTGTATCTGCACCTGTGGAAACCTATTATAAGCTTTAAGATTGTATTTGGACCTGTGTGAAGGCTTCAGTGAAAGTGTAGCCTGAGAGGGGGCGCTGTGCTGTATCATGTCAGCAAGATGTACAATAGCTGTAGTAGATTTAATCGTTATGTTTTTGTAAATATTCTTATTTTTGAATGTGTTTTCAAATTAAGGCACTAAAAACCAAAAAGGGTGAATGAAAAAAAAAGCACTTTGTAATGATACATAAATGCACATTTCTTAAAATCAGATTCAAGTAATTTCAATGAAAGCCTTACCCCATCCATTTAAACAATATCCCTGTTTTTGTCGTTGTTTCGTCATACATTTTCAATAGGAATGTCGACATATTTTTTATAAAAAAGGTACATGAGCACACCATGCAACATTAAGGATTTTGTACAAATTCTTTTCCAGCTAATTTCATACATAATGTTATTAAGCCTCAATGATTTCACGCTTAAACAGTTTCTCCTAAGGAGGTGCTAAACCTCTTTAATCAGATTATGAGTCAGCAAGAATTATATCACTGAGTATTTTCTCCCAATGTCCCTTTGTCACAGAAGTGACACGTGATACTTGAAATAGTTTTTATCAAACGGGAAAGTCCACAATCTTCACTTCAGGTGTCTTAAACTAATGTTCAATGTTCTAGCTCCACTGCATATCACCTGTTAGATATGTTACCTTTTAGTTTACTTAAATGTAGTAAACTCTTCTCAAAGGAAATGCACTCTTGAATCAAAAGACTTTCCCCCATTTTCTTTAAAGAATCTGTTTCCACATTTCTTTACTGAATCTTCAACTAGACGCATCAAAGTGACTGTTGTTCTCAAGTTGTTGTTCTCAGAATGTGTGCAACGTGTGTGTAAAATCAGGAATGTCTTCATTTCATGTTTATAGTGAGTAGTTGTTGAAGAGAAAGACAGAACTCCTATTGGTGTTTGCCGTTTAAGTTTTCAACAAAACTCCTTTTGTGGAAGTGATTCAATGTTATTATCCCTCAGGAAATCATACCTGTTGGCTGAACTGAAAAGGTTTCCAGTGTTGACTGTTTTATATATGATATTTATATAATGACTACAAAAGGCAGAGCATCATTTGCATCCCCTCCACATAAAACACCATTAACTCACCCTAACTCTAAATGTCAAAAAAACAACCTAGAAACTCTTAACTTTAAAGATATTGTTCTGTTTCTTTTGATACGCAGTTTCTCCATCCCCCGCCATCCCTGGAACATTTCTCCAGAGATTTACGACCCTGTCCGTTTCAGTTTGCTAAACAAATGTCTGTTTGTTTTGGCCTTTGTGCTGACGCAGTCCTGAAGGGTTAGAAAAGACTCTTGTTGTTCCCCGCAACCTTCAGGAATTTCTAAAGTATGCCACATTTAGGAGAAAGAAAGCTTGCGGGGGAAAAAGCTCCCACAGAAGAGGAGCAGCACATGGATAAATACTCATTTCAGTTCTTGCTATGTGTGTCTACTAACGGACATGTGACATTACTTGTTCCCGTCATTCAATCAAAGCAGTGTTTTGTTGAGTTCACAGGAAAATGGGCCTGTTTTTGAAGTATGATTATATTTAATAATAATGGGTTTAATTTATAACGCACTTCATATTTGAGTTCAAATCCCGAAGTGCTACAAGCAGTGAGCATGGAACCGTATAAAACAGTACACAACACGGTAGAATTGAGTAAAAAGCAGTAAAAACAAACAATACAAAAATAAATAAAAGGGTAGTAATAAATCAAATAAAAGGTCTAGGAAAAGGCTCTATTGAACAGATGGGTTTTGTTTAGTTTTCACATACTGGAAGCGTGTCTCATTGATCCAAACATCTGTTTTTGAAAATATTTCAGTAAGTCCCGGCTGGTGGGACGACAGCAAGCATTTCTAAATCCACTATTTCCGCTCTATTTCACATCTGTTTTATGTTGATAGTTAAAGTTGTTTTTTGTGCCTGTTTGGAGTTGTAAATGCCATGATGTTTGTTATATTGTGAATAAATTAAGCTCTCCCTCTCCCTCTTGTGTACCACAGTTCTTTAATCCTCTCCAGAGTGAGCTTTACTTAAGTCAAAAACAGATGCAGACACATGTATCCAAAGTAAACATTAACAAACAATTGACACAAATGTTGGCTACATTACATATTTATGCAACAAATGGTTTAAATTGTGTGCTTCTTCTTCAGTATCAGTTTGTCACATTAGTTCTCATAGTTGGTAGTCATTCAGTAGTTGAAGCTTTGCTGGAGTGGTGTTTCCTATCAGAGCTCATCTCTGCCCTCTGCAGCTCCATCAACAAACTGCTGCTGAGGGAGCTTTACTGTTTCTGCACTGGGAGCAATAATACACCGTTTTGAATGACTGTTCTGGTTTAAACACTGTTGGGGAGCTCCATAATCTATAGGGAGAAAAACTATTCAAAATCTTGATTGCTTTGTGAAAAGGGAGGAAATCTTGTTTTTTTATTGAATTCTATAAGGCACCAAGTCGGTCTTATATTCAATGCTAATTATTGTTTGAATTCAGTTTCAGCTAACGTGTGACTGGAGTCTCAGCAACTTGAAAACAAGAGGAAATAATGTAGGACTACTGAATATAAATATTATTGTACTACTACTATTGATTTAGGCTACTTTAGCTTACAAAACATTAGACATATCAAAACTGGACACAACATGGTTAACTTTAAATTGCTAGCTTCACCAAATAAATCCAAACCCACCTGCAAACACCTCTAAAGCTTTTTTAATCAATTGTAATATCTGAATAAGTAGGTAGTTAGTTTGACAATCAAACAAACAAGATACAAAGTGTTGAATTGGTAATTGTGTTACCTGTGGATGGAGCTATGCTATCTGTTCCGCTCTATCATAGTCTGTATGCTAAACTAAGCTAACCAGCTGCCGTACGCTATGTAGGCCTACTATGAGAAAAAGTTAAAAGGAATAGTTTGACTTTTATAAAACATCGCTTTCTTGCTGAGTTACATTTCTCAAATTGGGATCAATAAAGTTCTATTTTATCTTACTCTAAATGATGCGTCGCAGGCTCATATTTTCAGAACACTGTCTCTCTTTTGTCCCTTTCATGCATATTTGCCCTCACGTTCAGCCTCACAGAGGAATGCTGTCCCGTCTGTTTGTCAGCAATAACAATAGGCTACTTATTAAAATAATTGACACGGAAAAAGAAAAATGATTTCAAGTTGGAAAGACAAGATGAAACTCCAATAGGTCAGCGAGAGACAACAGACAGCACTTATCTTACTCTACTCATTAAACACTTTGAATAACATTCCCACAGAATGTAGCAGGGACATTAAACACAACTCTAGGAATTCTCAAAGATCTTTGTCAGTCTCTAATTGTATGGAAATTAGGTTGGGCATTATTACAAAGGCAGTGTTAGTGATGGAGTATTTAGGGTGTAGGCTGCAGATAAAAAACAGTAGGGAACAGGGTGGTGTAAAGACATTAGTTCCGTCACAGTACTGAGTAATAAGGAGCGTTGCAGCTGATAATTACTGACTAGATCTCAACAGTGAGGCAGGGAAAAAGAAAATGGTGGATGAAACATAACACTCTAATTTTGAAGCAACACCTGTAGCCTACCATTTAGGTGTTTATTTTTTATAATGTTAAATGGACCCTGTTTTATTTCACAGGATTTGAAGATCATGTCGATGACTCAGTGATTACTCTGCCAGGTGCTCAGATTAGTGGCTCCAAAGTTCATTTTTAAACCTGAACCCTGAACTCTCCACCAGCAGGAATGTCAGCACACCTTGAGTTTCTTCCTCCTACCAGTCATTAAACATTCACTTATAAAGACTGACAAGGCTTCGTACTCGAGCCTGTGCTCGTTTTATATCACCAAGATTTATCGCTTCTTCGTGTTACAGTGGATGTTGCTGTTGGAACGCATGCAGCTCTGATTAACCTAACTTAAGACCTGCTATAACCACATAAAACACACATGGGATAATGGTTTACAATAAAAAAAAAACGTTCCACGTTATATTTCACTACCAGCTTCAATTACATGACAACTTATACTTTACAAAAACAGGTTCATGTGGTGTTCTCTTACCAGAATATGCCTGGCAGGCCTTTTTGATGTTGTGTGGTTAACTTTACTTTACAAATACAGAGATGTCCACTGGGTTGTAACCAATACTTGACTATGAGGAGAAGACCAATTAATGAAAAATCCTGATCAAATCAGTAGATATTAAGCCATAGATCACTAAACAGTTGGGATAGTTGGAATATATTCGAAAATGTCTTGCAGAGAATGAAATGAGAAGATAAATATTTACTAATGTTGTCATCTATCCTAGCAAGAGCACATTTTCTAAATGTCAAACTAGCACAATTTATCTAATATGTTGTTTGTGGTACTGAGAAAATGTCCTTTATTGCAAGTGCAGATTCAGAGAGGCTTGTAGTAACTAATCCTCAAGTAGTATGATATCATGTTGCCACACTGAACCACAATATAAGAATTTCTCTTTAACTCCACTGTGATGCATTTTAAAGTTTAAACTATCACCCAGTAAATTGAGCATCTGTACTTTTAGCATTTTAGGTTGACATTCACATTTACAATATTTTCCATATTTAAAAAAAAAATGATCATTGCACAAACAGTTTCCTATAAATGATGGTATTTCTGCTTGTTTTATCTGAAGGATTTAAGTTCTTTCTCCACCGCTCTGGGTCTTGTTCTTGACCTTATTGACCTTTCTCCTCAGCAGCAGCAGTGGCAGAGAACATTTGCTTACTAAAACCATGAGGCACGGAGATGAAACATCGTCTTGACATGAGACAATGTACGCTGCTGGGGAAGTGACATCATGTAACGTTAAAGACACAGAGGGAGGTGACTCGAGGCGGGAACAAGACACACAGTCTGAGAAGCGGCTGACCACAGAACATTTCCGAACAACACTTCTTCAACTTTTGCCATGATTTCGGAAACTAACCATTAGATTTTTAGACACATATAAAGCCTTACTTTGATTTTTCCTTTTTTCAACTAGGAACAAGAAACCATGACAGACAGGAAACCAGGCAGCATTACCCCACACTTTCAGTCACCCACATGCAAACACACTCATTCCCAGTCAGCTGCTCATGTGGCTGAATCACAGCTGTCTCAACAAGCCCTGAAGATGGATCCAGGCCACATTTCAGAGAAGTTTTGGCACTGTAATGATTTATGGAGCACCTGCAAACCTCTTAATGAACATGCACTTTGCCTATGCTAGTCAAATATTTTACAATCCAGGAAATCCAGTTTTTGTTTTCTTCCAGGAAATTGCAGTGAGTTGTGTGCCTCTCTAAAATGCTTAGCAGTGTTTAATAATTCATCTCGAAGCTGAGAGGTACCAAGTCCCCTAAATCCTCCTCAGAGGCACCCATTTTTTTTATTGTATTTATTTAGTTGCTTTTAAAAGTTTTAGTCACCCATATGTCATCACATCTTCAATTTAGTTTGGGCATGTTTGCCCGTGGAAATCAAAAAGGATGACTGCTTCATTACATAAGTTCATATCAGTTAGTCAAAGGGGAAAACACACAAGTCCTGTCGTGATCTGTTCGCTACCTCAGAAATAGAATGCATTGGTCATAGATTGATTTCCTGTTAACAGACGTAATGAATGCATGCAAACTTTGTTAAAATAAGTGTCTGATTTATTTCTCATGAAATGCATCGCAGTTGATTTACAATCACAACAAATGGAACTATATATTTTACAGGCAGTGGAAGAAAATATGCAGTTTTTTTCTGAAATGCAGATGCGACTGGAAAACAAATTTGACTCTTCATTCAAACAAACAGGAAATCATAATCAGTAATTAAACATCATCAGTGTTTAGCTCAGTTTCCATGTCTGAAGATTAAAATGACACATTCGACGGACCACAGACGGTGAGTAATAAGAAAACTCTGAATCATGTTTTGTTCACACCTGTAAACTCTACCATTAGATATAACTCAGAAACGTAACATATGTAACAACAAATCTGTCTCTCAGTCATAATCAGTAAACCATGCATATTAGTTTTTCATATTTTATGCCAAAAGAAAAGTCAAAAAATATGAATAAAGCAAACAACTTTTTTGTGACCTCATTTAGTCATATGAATAAAGCAAACAACTGTTTTTAGTTGTTGTCATTGTTGAAGAAAGCCTGAAAATCAGATGAATGTCAGTCAAGAATCGGATGTGTGGCTCTAAATCCACATGAGAACAAGACAAGACATTATTTACATAAAAGCATCTGATATGACTCTCTGTCTCAAGCTGCTGTCTTCTCGTTCCTCGATGGGGTCTTCGCTCAGGGAGTAAAATCCTGACCTCTGCTTGTGCTTCTTCTTGGTGCCCATGACATTGGGATTGAAGAGGCGGCTTATTGAATGCAGGCCCTTTGAGAGATCCGGGAACAGATCCAGCTCTTCTTTCTCAATTTGCACTATGTCCGGAGCCTTTTGAACTTTGGGTTCACCCAGCATCTCTCTCACTGTCTCAGAGATGCCCCCGTGCAGATAGTGGTAGGCCTTCTTTCCGCAGTTGTCCCTAATTCTTGGATCGGCACCGTGTTCCCCCACCAGCATGGCCATGATGTACTCCTGATCATGCAAAGCGGCAATGTGCAACGGAGTGTAACCTCCATGTGTTTTCGCATTAATGTCAATGTCCACTCCTCCTTGCCTGGATAGGTCAATAATATTCACAAGCATTTCACTGTTCCCACATTTGGCTGCCCAGTGCAGAGCGGTGAACCCTGACATGAAGTCCCTCTTCTCGGCCAGTTGGTTGTCTCTCAGCAGCAGGCCGTAAACTTGGCTCCAGTGACCGGCGGCACACTTGACCAGCCATTCATGCTCAGCTTGCTCCAAGGGAAACAGAGAGGGGCCCCTTGTCTCCTGAACCTCTGACGCCTTGGTGCTCTTCACTGACCTCCTCAGCTGGGGCGAGCTAATGCTACTGTCCGTCTCCGCTGAACTTCTCTTGTTCCTGAAGGAGTCCAGCTTCGGGCTTTTAGGAGGATCATCTGGGTCTAATTTTAGTTTTCTGATCTCCACCATTGTAGTGCTGGGTGGCATCCTCAGAGGTAAGGCATATGGTTTGCTCTGGATCCTGGTGGGCTCATTTACCCTGCTTCCTCTTGAATCTTCATTTGTTTCCTGCTTCTGGATCTCAAAGTTTAGCACTCTTTTAATTCTAACACTTGTACATTTGCTTCTTTGCAGTGCCTGCTGTATAGAATAAAGTATTTCGGTAGGATTGTCACTTAATTCACTTTTATCTTCTTGATCAGGCTCGGAAACAACTGATCTCTCCCCTCCTGCTGCCTCCTCAGAGCCTCCAGTCTCCTCACCCTGCACAGGTGGGCGCTGCTGCTCACCTGTCTGCGGGATCTCTTTATTTGCACTCTTCTCCACACGGATCTGTTCGGTCTGGGCACCGTCCAGGAAGTGCTGATACGTTTTCCTGACGACAACGTACCGGACACCGTCGATTTCTTTGACGAAAGCGACATTGTTAACGAAAGTCTTGAAAAGCTCCTTGTTCTGTTCTTTCTCTGCGGAATCTTCGCAGTTTATGGAGTCTTTGAATTTACCCACCAAGTCGGATTTCTTCACTTGGCCCCCCTCCGCTATCAGCAGAGAAAGGACGGATTCTTGCGTCAAAATCATGATTTAATCTGTATGATTTACGTGGATAAAAGTTAGAACTTCTACCTCCCACAGCCGCCCTGTTACTGTTACCTTTGTCCTGTGAGAGTACAGCCTCACCTGGCCGCGCACTTCTCTCCTCCCCACCTGGAGGAGTCTTTTCCGGGAGAACGCGCAGACGTGGACACAATCTGAATAATACATGCATATTTTTTTCTAAAGACAAAGTGGCTGCGAGATTACAATTGAAGACTAATAATATCACCTTAATTTCTCTAATAAAATAAAAAATAAATTAAAACAAATGTAAAATAAATCAAATAAATGTACAATAAATGTATTAAACAAGAACATGTGTTTTTATCAGCTTCAAAATGCCTACCCCAAAGACCACATACACTTTTCCCCATGATAAGTTATGCACATAATAATTGCAAGAATAATAAGAATAATAATTAAAAAGTCTACTTTTATTCAAAAGCAAGGCAAGTTTATTTATAGCACCTTTCAACACGACAATTCAAAGTGCTATACAACAATTAAAGACAGTAAGATCATTAAGAAATGGTGCAGGGGAAACACATTATTAAATGGCAAATGTAAACATTTTCAACAACGTTTTTTTGCCCAAATATAACCATGCTTTACTAAAGTCTAAGATATAAAATACAGCCCTTAACATCAATAATTGGTGGGGCCCCTAAACACACAAACACAAAGTTGTAAATGTTTAATGTAAGCTGGATGCCAGCATAAATCTGTGAATATAATGTACACGTCCCAAAGGTACCAGCTACACAGTAGGCTACAATACACACAACAACATAAACACTGATTATAATAGGAGTTAATTAAACACAATATTGGAGCAGTATCAGATTGCCTTATCTGAATGGCTGACTCTCACTCCTGTACAATGTGACCTCATTTAATAATTTAAAGGTCCCATGTCATGCTTTTCCGGTTATTACCCGTCCCGTGTTATGAAGGTTTTTATGCATGTAAACGGTCTGCAGAGTCAAAACCCTCAAAGTAGACCCTGTAGGGAGTAAAACTCTAACACAGAAAATACCTCCCCAAAAGGCCTCGTTAGAGATTTCTCATTTTCCATTGTTTACTTCCTGGGTACTCTGACGTGGGGATACCCAGAGAGGCCACACCCTCTGCCAGCCTTTCACGAAACAAAGCTTCCCAAACCTTTCAGCAATTCATGCCGGATATACAGCGTAGGGCACTGAAGAACGATGCGGTTCCTACTTTGTTTGGACCAGCGGGAGATTCGGGTATACACAACCTAAGTATTCATTGTTGTTTGTGTATTTATGATGTTTAAAACAAACAAGGTATCTACCATGACTGTTTAAATGGGTAAACGTTTTTCGGGCTACTACGTTGGGATCGCGGAGAAATGCTCTCCGCAGACCCATGCTCACAGCATTTTTCTTACTCAATATCAAGCCACACTTATTGTTTTTACTTCGGCTGTGAATGTTTGTGTGCTCAGGATGAGTCTAACTTGTTCTCGCTGTATCGCCGACATGGAAGCCTGTCTGCTCCTCGCAGCAGCTTGCAGCAGCAACGAGCCTCTCAACGTCGCGACCAATCAGAGCACACTGGGCTCACAGGGAGGGGGCAGGAGCTCCAACAAGCCATTTACAGAGTGAATACACATACTATACAGAGATGCTGTATGAGAAACCAATGTGAGTTTGGAAAATTGCACAGTATAAATCTATTTTAGTATGCCTCAACAATGGAATTATGATCAGTAGAAATGGCCATGACATGGGACCTTTACATATTGATGCACTCTCTAGAAAACGGCACAAGCAGACATAGTTGTCTACACTGAAGCGGTGATTAGGTGTTTTACTATCTCTCCCGCTGACACACATATTTGTGCTCTGCCTCTGTCGATCTGCGGTGCTGTTAGCTCATGTTCTGACTTGTAATGCATGCAACATGACATTCCTGGGTTGTGAACGATTGTGAATGGGAGTTCCCAAGAAGTGGCCATATTGGAACACATCTGACCCACTCAAAGATCTAACATGGACGTCAAGACAGTTCTCCTCCTACTCTAACGTACGCATACACTTTGACAGCGAAAACACCTCGAGGCTATTTAAACTGCTCCAAATTAAAGATATATAAACATTTATTACGGAGGGACTTTTATATGGGGAATAAAACAGAATCTTAATGAAATAAATCGCGATTGTTCGTTAACTGTATGACACACGCTGCGCATTAGTACGCATGCGCATAACTGACAAACCTGCCGAACCGCTGTTACGTCTGTTTATCGACTTTTTTAACCGACTAATTGTCCTTCGCTCCCAAGATAGATAGTAAATATTAATAACACATTACTTTCCCTCTCTTGTCAAAGTCGAATTGACGAAAATAAACGATGAATACGCCTGTCTGAGCGAAGCAGAAGTGAAGTAGCAGGGAGTCCTCTTGACGCCTAGCTTAGTAGCCTCCCTGTCCAGTTAGCAGCTCCTCTCCGTCTTGTGTCGCTCTCTTCCTATCTCTGTCAACGGCTCAGTAGTTTAGCAGTACGGAGAGACGAGGGCTGCTCCCTTTCTGCTCAGTCAGCCCAGCACACCCACACCATACATTCCACCACCATGGCTGCCACAGATGTTGACGTGTTTTCGGTAAGTAAAAGCCACGGGGTTCCTTTTTTTGGGTCCATAGCAACCGAAAATATTGCATGTGTAGCTGCAGGAATACTTGGTAGTGATTAGTAAAAGTGTGTGTGTGTGTTAGCTGCTGTGAAGCTAAGCCTCCCCCGCTTGGGAAGCCTGTAATGTGGCCGAGATGGTGGAAGTGATTTCTGTGATGGAGTGGTTTTTATTTTAGACCAATTAAGATGACCCTGCATATTGTTTACTATATATTTGTCGTGTCCTGTTTGGTATTGTTCTGTCTTTCTATATCTTAGTATGTATTGCTTATGGGCGTATTCAACTGTTTACTATTGACGTTATTAGGGGTGGTCGTAAACGTAACACAGTTAGAAAGGCTACTATTATAAGTGTATTTGACGCTATAAAATACCATGCTGTATTTAATATCTACATGTACAGTAGATAGCAGTTACTACAGTGTGCTGAGCCCTGACATGTGTTTCAATGTAACTTCCTCTTAGGGTAATTAAACTTCACTTCTGTTGTCTCGTAATGTGATGTTTACACAACATGCCATTTTAGTTTTACCAGCCATATGCTAAACCAGCTCTCATTACATTGCATTTGCATTAGGTTGGGTCATACTATCAGATGAGAGTGGAATGTATCCTGCATTTTATTAATTGTGACAAGCCCTGTTGTCAGTCAGGTCCGGTGTGTTACAGTTCATGCAATACAGGTTTACGAAAATAGCATAGAGTAAGAGAGTCAGCCCTCAAGTATGTCAATAATTCACACAACAAAGCATTTCAAAAGCCAAAATTATGGTGACGAGGCGTATACACAGGAGGGGATTTAATTCGGGTGATTAACTTTTTGTCAGATGCTTGAAGAAATCCCTGGGGTGGTGAATTGGACAGTAAGCACACAGAGTTTTAGGGATAAAGAGATTAAGAACACACTCCAGGGCCACTCCTACCACCTCTTGGTGTAACACGTCTTGGAAGAAAGGATCCAAAAAAGGAGCATATGATATTGCACTCTTGGCATTTCTTAAATTAGGAAGGTGTCCAAGAGGGGATGCAGGTTGCCAAGGATAATGCTGATATTGCAGTGAAACAGGCCAGTTGAACAACATTGTTAGCACAGTGTCCTGGCTGTCTGTCCGACTTCCTGCCTAATTTTCTGAACTAAATTGGACTGTATTGAACAAAGTTACTCGCCTTGCAGGTTGTGTAACGGGCACGCTGTTAATTATGTTAAATCATTGATAGGGATGTGTGGTTGGTTGCGCTGTTGACCCTCATCCATCGTATATCGTAGATTTGGTATAACTTTCTAGGACAGACTCGCACATGGCGATCAATGGAGGCAACTACCCATCTATTGTTTTCCCTCATTGATTGCATTATAGAGTGTGTACTTAGTATAGAACATGATGCTGTTCATTTAAATGGTTATGTAATGAAATGCCCTACAACATATTTAGCATGTACAGTGCTGCTTACTGACCCCAAAGATTATTGTCTCTCCCGTGAGGCCTGCATGCATAAAATGAAATTAGCTTCATAAATTACTTAGAGGCAGGAGACAAGGAGTGAGGAATTATGTGGCAAGTTGCTTTGCACTTTAAAAAGGCAGCTTTTGCTTGTTTGTGCAGAGGGTGAATATATGATCTAAATGTGTGCTTTATTCAGACTGCATTTCTTCATTTGAAACGCATTCCTGTTGTTCAGCTGCTCACAACGGACTGCAGGTTGACTGCACTGACTGTCAGCAGTGATGTTGGCTGTATGTATAGAACATACTGGCCACAACAGCCTAAAGGCGAGCGTGTCAAATCAGATGTTGTAGATGAATGATGACAGCCAAGCTGCAGCGTCTCTGTTGAGTCAATATCCATCTATAGATTCAGTCATGCTCAGAAGACATGTTTGGAGAGTAATAGTAATGCTTTAGAATTAAAATAGCTCATTAAATATTGTTGGAAAAGTATGAATGAATATTTAGAGGCAGCTATGTTTTGATATTGAAATTCCATAATTCAGTTTGAACAAAGAATGCAAAGTTCACCATACAACGTAGTCCGCATTGAACAGCTGTTGGCATAGCCTGGAAGTTATACCTTATTCCTTTTATGTTTAATCATTTCAGCACCCAGTGAAAATATATCGACAGTCATGTGTGCTGTTGAAAGGCTTTACAGCTTCAAGTGCTTTACATTTCATGCAAATTTGCTTCACATTGTATGAACAGAACAAAGGCTGCATGGAGTCACATTTCTTCAATTATTTTTGGATTCTGAGACATGCAACTTTCACGAGGCATGTGAATGCTGACATGGCTCAAGCAGGGGGGGAAACGACACAAGAAACACAATGGGGGAAAAATGCATTTGCTTACTGTAGTCAAAACAACATGAGCACATGATGAATGACATCTCTTGTTTTTCCATCTTCTTTTGAGTAATCATAGCATGACAAAATGAAAGCAGGATTTACTGCATCCAAAAAGAGTCTAGAAGAGAGTCTAGATCAGGGGTATTCAACTAAAATTCAACGAAGTCCAGTTAGAGAAAATGTCCCCATGCAAAGGTCCAGAACATCAAACTGTCTAACTTGCTTCATGAATTAGTGTGATATATATTGAAGTGACCTGTAGCTTTATCAACGTCTGCATGTAATCAACAACTGACTGCCAATCAAAGAAAGAAAGTACAATTCAAAAACAACTATTTATTGTCAATTAACATTACTTAAGTACTGTGGATATGTGTAATGTTCCTCTCGGGCTGCATTTAAAATAAAATAGAGAAAATAAATAAAATGGCTTTTAAAAATATATGCATCTTAAAAGTGCTTAATTTTAGATAAATAAAACAAAGTGTAGCAGCAGCTTGAGTTTCCCTTTTTCTTTGTTAACCGTTTCACATCATGACTTAACAGTTTCAGCCGATTATAGAACAATATCAGTCTTTACATATCATAACAATTGAACAGTTTTAAAGTTTCTCTTTCTTTACCTCTTATATTGCAGTCCCTCACTCGCTTTTTTTTAATTCAGTGTGAGAATTGAGCTGGAGCTTGTCCTGCCAGGAGTTTAAATCTGGGCTGAAATGGTGTCAGGGCCATTCTCATACACACATGCAGGTTGGTTAGCCACGGTTAGCCTGCGCTGGAACGATATTTAGTTTTAATTTTGATCCTGGTGGACTGATCATATCGGGCTCTGAGACTGCTTATTTTGTGTGACCTCAGTTCTGACTTGAGAGGGAATGTTTGGTCAAACACTTTGTGTTTTGTCTCATAGTGGCGTTTTGGCACTTTTAATGAGCGCCACGGTCTCTGAACAAATGAGACACACTGGTTCTGTGCTCCCAGTGGGCAGGATGAACATGAATGAGTCCACTCAGGGTTAAAAGCTCTGTTCTCACTGTCCACTTTCCTCTTCTTGGAGAGCGCCATGTGTCATTATTTGTCTCTCCCTGTCTGCCGCTAACACTCCTGTTCAATCTCCTCTCCGCTTCTCTCCCTGTATCGCTAATTATTCTCTTCACTCACTTTCCTCTCCGCTTCTCTCTGCCGCGCTCTCGTCTCTTCTTCTGTGTTTCTCTCCCTGTATCGCTCACTCGTCTCTTTCGCCCCCTGTCGGTGGCGGTTAAAATAGAATCGCCCCGTCAAAATTGAAATCCCCTATTAATGTATTGATTATAGGTCTGGGTCCGTATTAGGGCTGTGCATCTTCACTGGTCTCACGATTCGATTACGATTATCCTGTCAACGATTCGATTCAATTCGATATCCCGATGCATCCCGATGCATCACGATTCATACCAATGCGTTGCATCCTCAATTTTCTATATTACTGCACATGGCTTATTTTTCATCAATGCATACATGCAGTAAATACATATGAACTCTCTTTTTATTATTTAGAAAGTGCTTCAGAAATCAATAACATAAATGTCTTGACATTCATTTATAAACCAAAATAAATGAATTGTATAGGTCTAGCTTCCCTATATCTGTGTGTGAAGTTGTTCCATCCTCAAAAACAAAAAACTAATGCTTCTGCAGTCTAGCTGCAGCTTCTAGCTACGGTCTTCTGTTAAAAAAAAGGACACTGAATGTCCTGAATGTGGCATCACACACAGGACTTGAGTCTGAACACAGCAGACAACAGGAGTATTTACAACAGCATATACAAACAAAAATAGTGCATGTGGGTGCACACTTACATTCTGTTTTACTGTTACATTAATCCCATGAATGTATGAGATTAAATTAGCTTCATTATATCTCAGTGATTAAGTGAATAATAAAGTTTCTATCGGGTCATTATCAGCCTGTCACTCATTATTTTCAGGGCGGGGTTTGGAGGAACGGAGAGGAGACGGTGATCGCGGAAGCTTTTTTCCTCCTGCCTTCACAAACTTTACACAAGTATATATCGTCTGGAAATTGCTAGAGGACATTCATACTTTGCAATCCAAGACTTAATTAAATCCACCAAAAACCTGACATGATTGTAACGCGATTATTTTTTGAAAAACATAAATCCCTGTGCCGCAGCGACACGGAGTGATTCAGAGCGCGTCCTTCTGCTGTTGGTTCTGGACTGGTGGTGTTGTGTTGGTGGATAAAGCAGACTGCTCCGTGTTTGGTGTTGCTGTGCCGCTGTCACGTCTGTTCCCTGATCTCTGCGTCACCGACCGATTTTATATTAAAGTGACAGAAAAAAAAAACGTTATAGTAAAGCCGCGGCCGGAAAATCAGGAAGCAATGTTACTACGCTATAACCGATTATCTTCCGTCACTGCATCGAGACCGAATCGTCCGCATCGCAATGCATCGTAGAAACAATTATTTTCAACACCCCTAGTCCGTATAGGTCCGGGCCGTGGTCCGGCTGTTGCCGACCCCTGGTCTAGATCTTAAATACTTATCCTTAGCGTGTGTGAAAGCTTACATGCAATGAGTTTTTACCTCTAATTGATAAAGAAATTACAGAAGTGTATCTTTTGGCTA